TAATCATGTCTACACCTCCTCTAAATATTTCTAAGGCCAAAAATAAGATAGGTTCTAAAGTAGGCCAAAAATACTATGTTCAGAGGACTTTAAGCACCCATCCACGTTCCTATAGGACACTGCTTGCTCCTGTCTCCAGGGAGCAGCAGCCCATGAAAGTTTCTCAGAAGCACACATGGAAAAGAGCTATCAAAAAAGAGGGAAAGGAATGCTTTGAATTTAGCAACTGGTCATGGGGGTGGGATGAGGGGGGGTGAGAGTTCAGAAAAGTGGTATCATTGCAGAAGAGCAGCAAACAGACTAGTAAGCACATGAAGTGCATACCCTTCGGTGAACGTTAAGCCCCACAGAAGTAGTATCACAAAGAAAGCACAATTCAAAGCTTATGAAGTTAAGGAAGTGGGGAGAAGCTGACCAACAGTGCATGCCTCCAGCAACAAATTCAGCAATACTGCTTCTCTGTCTCCCAAGTAATAAAAATGCTCATTAAAGAAAAAGAGAGGACTACCCAGCAGAGGCTCTGAGGAATAGCTATAGGATAAAAAGCCCTTCAAAATTAGGGAACGATCACTAGAACAAAATTCAACATTGTTTTATTGATAAGCAACTTTTAAAACATTTTAATGCAAATATTCTATCATTACAACGGTAAACAACGTGAAGATTTTCAGAAAGTCAAGTGAAGTCAACAGACTCATTAAACAAACACAGATCCTTAAATATTATCCCCATCATGTCTTCAAGGCCATGTAGTACTTATATTACTCTTCAAAGCCTGTTACTTATTTTATTGCTAAGCTGTTACATTTCAGAAGTGGTGATTAATCACCCTTTGAAAATTCCACAAGACTCTGAGACACAAAATCATGAATCCATGTATCAATATGTTGAAGAGATGTGTCCACGAGAAAAGTCACTACTTTTCTATCCCAAGGGTTAGTGCTTTCATTAACTGCATGTATTTGTGCCACAAAGGGCTTCTTCTCTACAAGATTCCGAAATGCTATCGATGCCTCTTCTGACCACTGCTGGTTTTTGACTCCTAGGACAAAAGTAAAGCAAAACAGAGGGTCATTTATAGGCTAGACCAATCTGAATGATTAAGTTTAAATACTGAGGAAAGAGATGTTAAAATGCTAATGAATGCAACTTAAATCTCGAAAAGAAACACAAGCTCACTCATCTCCCACACAAGCTAGCTTAATTATTACACAGACTAGGGCATTTATTTTTCCTTGAAGTCTAAAGATCTGGACATGTTTGCAGAAGTGAAAGGCAAATGCACTGACTCACTGAGCAATGCAAAGTACATCAGCTGCCATGCATGACCAGAGCATATCAGGAACCATGACAAAAAGGAAATTAAAGATCCTTTCAAAACAAACTTTGTCTTCAGCCTGAGAGTGCTGAAATTATTTGTCAGTTGGCCTTGCTTTAGATTAAGTTTCCTTAGTCTCAAAGCAGCATCAGCTACTAAAATATCTGCCAAACCTCCAAGTCCCAAACTAGATCGGCAGAGGGCAGAAATGAAGAGAAATGCTGCCTAAATGCCTCACAACTCTTGTTACTTTTTTTTTTCAGAGCAGCATTCCACAGAGTACAGTCTGCTAGAACCTAAATAGGTTTTTGAATATGGCTGTAATCCACCAAGAAAGAAGTGGCTCCTGCAGACTTGGTATTCAGTCTCCCCAGACCACTGCCGGTGCACAGCAGCTACGCACAGGGACTCAAAAATCATGCATGTATACCCGAACCCCAGCTTATGGATAAAAGAAGCAAAACAGTAAAGTGAAAATACTTTGCTTTTACCACTAGCAGCAGCTTGCTGTTTATGGGACAGCACAGCTCCCTGTAGATTACAGTGATAATTAGAAGCCAATAGTTAATCAACACTTAAGAAGGGGTAATTAATGCTAGGAAAGGCTGCTGGGGAAGAAAACAGGATTTTACAAGAGAACAGACCAGAGTCTAAGAGGCAGGAGACATGAAAAAAGTAGAAGAATAGCAAGACAATAGTTACCAGTCTTCCAGGATCAGCTGGCCTGCTTTGACAATATGAAGCATCTCAGAGGCCAACTTAACTAGCTACTTGGGGGATTCTGTGAAGCAGGAAAATTGGATGACTTGCAGGCTTGCTCAGCTGGATCCTGTACTACCCCAGAAGACAGACAGAGCTAGAAACCACCTTCATTACAGCTCTGTGCTCCTAGAACCCCAGCCTGTTGGTAACACATCCATCAGCACTAGTTTAAAGCAACCCCCAAGGTCACACTGAGGCTACGTTGGAAAGCAGATCCACAGAAGGCAGCCTAGGATCAGAGCACCAACTCTGTGGCCTGTCACTTCCAACAAGCATATTCTCTACCTGAAATCTAGACTAGTGCTGACCAAACAGCAGCAGAAAGCAGCAGCTGAGACACATACGTCTGAAAGCAATGCAGAAATGAAAGAAAGATTTGGGAAAGGAAAGAGAACATAGCAAGGAGAGATCAAGTTTTATTGTTTTAATTATATCAGATGTATGCACACTCGCTATGCCCCATAATTCAGAAAATAAATCTTAAGCTTACTGAAATCCCCAAGCCCCCTTGTGGAGATTTTTTGTTTGTTTGAGAACACCAATACATTTCAGGCAACTTTGGATTCCAAATGTGCTCTGGAAAACTGTAAATTACAACAGCGGCAAGATATATATGAGAAATTTCTCTAGAAACTTGGCATATAGGTTCCTAACTTTATGTAAACTAGGGTATCCAGAACATTAGGTTATTACCATCATTATCATTGCTTTCACACTGCATAACGGGTAATGTTAAAGGACCCAAAACCAATTTAGACATTATTTCCCTGTGTCCTTTGCATATTAGGTATCACACATATTAAATGGTAACTTCTATGACCATGAAAAGCTGCTGCTGGGAAAGTTTAAACAATTTTCATTTTCAAACACGTTAAGTAGAAGTGCTGCAATAAATTAAACAAATAATAAAACAGAATCATCACCACCTATTGCAGGAAGAAGAACAGAACTACTCTGCTGATATAAACATGTATGCATTGACCATGTTTTCGCAAGCAGGTACACTTTAGCAAAGACCAATTACATCACCAACCTTTGACTTTGTCCACTTTACATTTCTGTTCATCTGTTATCCCACTGAAGTAAGACTTTAACACAAAAAAGAATGTAAATTCTCGCTACCTACCTGCAAGCTGAGCTGTTATAGCCTGGAAAGGCAGTTTTCTAAATGTATCCATGAGCGGCTGTACTTTCCGTACGTTGACAAACTCGTGTTTGCCATAGTCTAGCTCATACACTGACAAAAACCCATTTCTAAGAACTCCTTTGATTATGACCCTGTACCACCTAAAAAGGGGGAGACAAGAATAGACAATTTGAGTTCATATTCATGCACTGGTGTCAAGGCACAAGGAAAATAATACACGACCACAACACATCTCAGGCTTCCCAGATCTGGATTTAGATGAATAAAAGTCAACTATTCCAACTACACTCTGGAAGGGCGGAGAGACTGCAACCTCATTTACTCCCTTAATCTCTCAGATATCATTGGACATCTGCCACCTTGTTAACAATGCGGACTAAGCCAAGCTAGGCTTGCCTAGCTTAGCAGAGTTAAGCTTGCTTGCAAAGATTTTGTTTTTAATTCAAGTATCTACTTACTTATCTCCAATTTTAGCTGCATACAGCTTGTTTTTTTCAATGTTCACAGGTTTCTCTTCTGCCCCGCTGTAGTACAAGATCATTTCTTCCATTAGGGTGTCCAGGTTATTCAGCTCATTCCAAGGCTGGACAATGAAGTGACCTGGATGGCAGGCCACCGAGACAAAGACATCCATGAGCTCACCAGGCTTTGGCAAGGGTAGAGGGGGAGGCATATCAGTGGTAGATGCTGCACTGCTGGGCTCTCTGGCTGAATCAGAGAAACTCTTCTGCAGCCTCCCACTAGCTAACTGCTGAGCTGAGGCAGCATCACTTGTCACTTTTGCGGAGCTAGTCCCACTGGGTGTAACACTCAAGAAAACATCCTTCTGATGCTTCCACAAGTCTGCATTTTTGATCTGCTGATTGATGCTATGATCCATGTCTGGGAAAGTCTCTCGAGCAAACAAGTAAACGTGCGCAATTCCCTTTGAACCATCCTGTTTATGCACCTTGGAACACAAAACACAGTTTAACTTCCAGTAGTAACTATGAAATGCAATCTGATTTTGTACAGAAGATTAAAGTGGCAACAGTTCAATTGCATTTATGCACAGAAGTATTTTCAAGGTTCTTCCAAATATGTTCATGATGTTGTGGATAGTAAGCAACTCATAGCAGCTAAGACAAGCACTTACAGCTATTCCACTAATGGGAAGCAAATACAAAGCTTGAATTGAGCTTTTTTTCTGCCCAAAGGTTCAATCTCAGCACTGTACGTACAATTCTAGTTTTCAGGCAAATAGTAGTATAACATCTGTCCATACAGATCTAAATAACTATTAAATATTCACACTCAATCCTTCAAAATTATCTTCCTGTCATTATGGGAAATGAAGCCGACTAAATTAAGGATGAGACAAAAAAGAAGGATAAAAAGAGCTTCCAGGTTTGTATCATGCACAGTTTTCAAGCATAGACATAAATGTATTTCCTATTTAACATCAGATATTTTTGACATTATCATCAGATATTATTGACGGTAGAGCACTGAAATTTTATTTTGACAAAGCATATACATTCCTTTACAGATTCTTCTGCTGATGTTACTATGCAGGAACAAAACCTTTCTCTAATTACAGCATAGATCTGTTGTCTATTATTTAATCCAGCAAAAATTAGCACCAAACTCAAACTTTCTTGGAAGAGGATGTTTAGAAAAGCCAGATGCAGCAGTCCTGAATCTCAGACTACAGGTCTAGACTAAAGCAAGCAAAAAGGTTAAGGAAAGCTATAAAACACTTTTTCAGAGTGCTCTGACAGTGTCTGGAATCAAATTTTCAAAAGGAAATAAACTTTTCTGAGTCTGTAGTTAGTAATAGTTTTCCATTAGAAGGGTGTTTGTAGTTAAATAAACTGGTTAGGATACATTGCAAATGGAAATAGTTTTATTTCAAAGGTAACAGAAATTCTAAGTATACAAAGCATATACTAAATCAGACTCGATTCAAGAAAGTAGCTTTGCTTATTCTTTGCTTTCTAAGATCCGAAGGAGAAAAACCTATGCTCAAAAGAGACATAAAAGTCATTCAAGATTAACTTAAAAGCTGCATATTTTTATGTGCCGAAACATGGACAACTGTGTTTCTTTCTTACCAGCTGGTAAAACAGCTCCAGGTTTGGACTCAGACAGCAAAATAAGAAAAGCTTCCATGAAAGTTGTTAAATTCTTGAGGGGAAAAGATTCTAACAGGCTTAAGCAAGTAAGTTTTACATCCAATATCCTAAGAAAAGGACATTGCATAGAATTCACGTGCAAGAGCTGGTTACAAACTTTTATACTTCAGTGACAAAAATCAATTTGATGAGTGACTAAGCTTCTAGACTTGTTCTTCCAATGCTCTCTTCACATGCCTATGAATTTCAAGTCACACGGGCATTTTGACTACTTACCTTCATGCTAAATTCGGGACAATTCATTACAGCATCTCTCAGCCACAGTACAGCATCTGGAGTCCACATGCCAGTGTTTGGAGGCAGATCTGCCAGGCAGCATTTTAAAGCCTAAAAACAGAATTAAGTATTCAAGGTATAATACAGGAATATGGAATCTAGACACCAAGATCCAATTCACAGAAACTTCATGAATGCTGACATCCAATAATGTATGACAAACAGAAAGAGAGAGCAACATGGGCAGAGCAGAACCAGCTGAAATTCAACAAGGGGAAGTGCAGAGTCCTGCACTTGGGGAGGAATAATCCCAAGCACCAGTGCAGGTTGGGCACTGACCTGCTGGAAAGCAGCTCTGCAGAGGAGGACCAGGAGCTCCTCATGGACAACAAGATGTCCATGGGCCAGGAGTGTGCCCTTGTGGCCAAGAAGGCCAATGGTATCCCGGGATGCATTAAGAAAAGTATTGCCAGCAGGTCGAGGGAGGTGACCCTGCCTCTCTGCTCAGCCCCTGTGAGGCCACACCTGAGTATTGTGCCCAGTTCTGAGCTCTTTAGACCCGGAGGGACATGGAGCTCCTGGAGCGGGTCCAGGAGAGGGCAACAAAGATTATTAAGGGACTGGAGCACCTCACTTATGGGGAAAGGCTGAGGGAGTTGGGTCTGGTCAGTCTTGGGAAGAGATGACTGAGAGGAACCTCATCAATGTATATCAATGTATATCAAAGTATATGAGTATCTGAATAGAGAGTGCCAAGAAGATGGACCCAGACTCTTCTCAGAGGTGCCAGACAATGGACAAGAAGCAACATGCTGAAACTGATGCACAGGAAATTCCACCTGAATACGAGGAAGAACAGACTGCCCAGAGAGGTTGTGGATTCTCCCTCACTGGAGATATTCAAGAGCTGTCTGGATGCAATCCTATGCCTCTAGGATGGCCCTGTTTGAGCAGGGAGGTTGGACTAGGTGACCCACTGTGGTTGCTTCCAACCTGACCCATTCTGTGATTCAATGAACATGCAAAACCAGTACTATTACACATACACAACATACTGTCAATACACACTGTCATTATGATTTATTTCAGGCAAAGATGCACTATGAAATATATTGCAATGCTGAATGCTCTGAAACTAAACAAAATTTCATTACATAAACCTTGAAGTAGCAGCACTATAAACAGTGCCAAGAGATCAAATATAGGTTCACTTTAATGTCTTCATACCTGAGGAGGTATTGAAATTACTTCCCTCAGGAATTGTGGTGGGATTTCTCTGAGCTCTGATACTTTTACAGTTGCAACTGTTCCAGTATCCATAAACTGTACATCAAGTGCCCGTCTAGTATGAATAATTTTTATCTGAAAAAAAGAAAGCAAGAGTATAATTTGAGGTTAAAAACCCAACAGGGGCACACACACTGTAAAAAGTTTCACGGAAACTAAAGGTTCAGATCAAGCTGAACAAAAGGCAGGGACATGTCTGTGTGGGAAAACTGCAGCTGTTTTTTGAATACTTATTACCTCTACACGTGCCCATTTTCCTTTGGAAGGCAACAAGCAGATTTTGCCACAGAAAGGTAGCAATACATTGAACTCAGATGTGTGCTGCAAATACAAAATCAGAAGTTTAAAAGCATGGAACTATTACTATCTTGCACTCGATTAACTATTAAAAAATCCACACATGGCATAGACAGTTCTGAGAAGTGAAAACTTTTGTTTCAAATGCAAAGTCTCCTTCCAGATTCAGAAACATTTCTTACTGTGTTGTTTAAAGCTTCTCCAGTTGGTAAAGCTTTAACTCCAAGCTCTGTATCTTACAGGGAAACAGAACACAAAGTTCTCAGACAAAAAAACCCACATTTTTAAACACAGAATATGAAATCACAAACCATTACTTGACTGTTCCGAAAAGCAAGAGCAGTTTAGAGCTGTGACAGACAACTGAAGAAGGTCCTAGCTTGTATTCCAGAACATATAATTAATTTCTTGAGATATTTAACAACCCAAATTTACTACTGACTCAAATGAAAGTCTCATGAGGGTGACACTCACCATGATAATCCTAAATAATGTAACAAGATAACAGCTCCACTATGAAAAGCATGAAGAAACTCCACTTAAGAACCATGAACACCTGAGTTTGTTTAAATCCTCAGCAAAATCAAAAAAACCCCAACAAACCAACCCAAAGTGAAAATTACTTCTTTTAACCTCATAGTAAGTGAATCTAAAGATCAATGTCTTTCTTGTTAGCAACCAGAACATAACTATAAACTTCTGAAATACCTGTCTGACTGCCTTCCTTTGTGTGGCTAAACCTTTAAGGGTCCTATATATTTTCTTTCAGTGTTTAGCTTACTTGAAACTGAAGACACATTCAATATAAAGTATTTCCAGGTAGTTCCACAACAGGTCTAAAGCTCAACTTCTACACCTAAAACCACTTTGACAGAGTAGTTTCACAAGCAGCAGTTCTAACAGGACCCTCAAGGACCTGCATTACATTATTTGATTCTGTAAGGCCCAGCTGAATTATGAACAAATCAGATTTTCTTGAGATTTCTTCTCTTTGGCATAAATTCTCTTGAGTCTAGTAAGGGTTGCTGCTTGTGTTTGTAATGTCTCGTGGAATGTCCGACTTCTCTGCCACATGTCTATTTCAAAGCAACTTAAGACTTTTGAAAAAGTCTCCTATACATACATCACTTCTAGCTGATATAAGCCACTGCATTCAAAGGCTAAGGGTACAAGGGCAAGATAGGCAGCATAATCAGATCAAAGCCATTGAATCTTCCAGGAATCCACATTAAAAAGAAGAGACCTTGGTCATGCTGCTTGTATTGCCACTTTGCATGGTGTGCTGTGGGCCAGGCTGTTTATGCACCTCACCACCTTATAAGCAAAACTTGCAGAAAAAAAAAGAGGCAGTATATCCACAGGCTTTATACTAATCTGATGCAGCTTCCAGCAGGAGCTTCCCATTAAGAGCCATATTGTTACTATTCTAACTATTAAAGGAAAGTTATGAGTAGTTACTGAAGCCTTAGAGACTTCTTGTGAACAAGAAAGCATCAAAATACACTTTTCACACTGAAAGATGCACCCTCAAAAACCCCAAACTAGGACAAGAATTTATAGCCTTTTTGAATAGCCTATGAATACCACAGAAACTTGAACTTATGTGCAAGGAAAATGATTAGTACACTCTGAAGAAAGGCTGCATGACTTTGCCACTTCCCTCACCACAGAACCTACCTTGTAAAGGAAGTAGTCGTCTAGTTTCTGCAAGACTTCAGAGAGTCTAGACAAGCCTTTGGACGGCACTTGGCAATACAGGCTTCCATCAGAGAGAATATTGGTTACTCTGACATTTGTGTATAGTGCATCTACCTGCAACAGTAAATTTTGACAACAAAAGGGGAAAGAAACACACCCCCAAAAGTTAGCAAATTTCTGAGTACTGGTTTTTGTTCAAAACCTCGGTAGTCAATGATTTGTATTGAATGAAGAGGGAAACAGGACAATGGTACCTGTAGGTGCAGTTCAAGGGACTTGTCATACAATGCCTTCAGACAAGTAGCATTGATGTTGATATCATCTTCTCCAGAGGTGTCATAGAGAACAAGCAGAGGAACATCACTCTTTTCCAGCACCTCCACAGCAAACATCTTGTAGCATGTCTCTGAGTCCACAGTATTTACTAGGACAGGATCATCACAGAAGGCTTCCAGTCCTGTAAGACACACCACATGTTTTATGTACCGCTGTATTCGAAGGGAGAAACAACAACTAAGTCTGTGTCCACAACAGGAATATTTCCAAGAATCAGGATTTAGCAGCAAAGTTGTACTTAACTTCTGCCTTTGTAACACAGAGAGCCATCCGCAGGAGTGGTGGGGGGGGGGTGAGGCAGGGAGGAATACAAAAGAAAAAGACTCTCTTCAGTAAGAGTGGAGGCAAATGTGTAGAGAAAAAAAGGAATGTATCTAAGTATTAAAAAAACAAACAAACAAAAAAGCCAAGCTCATTCATGGCAATTTCACACATTTAAAACACAATATTTTTTAAAGTCAGAAAGGTTTATCCATTTTAGAAAGGTAAATAAATTGCAGCAGAATCTGGGAAGTATGCAAGTACTGGAAGGGGATAAGATCACTTTAAAATAGCTACATAGGATCATATTTACAAATATTGCTTCACCTGGACAAAATAAATGTTCCTCATTTTTGGAAAAAGGTGTTGTGCTAGTACACTGCTTCACACAACAGTAAACATTTCCTTTCATTTCTTTAGGCTCACATATATTAAAGGGACAAAGACATTCAAATTAAGCACAGAAACAACTAAGCTCCATTACCCATTACAGAAATATTGGAGATAATTTTCTTCCAACATCAAGGTTTCTTTATAAAACCCTTGACATCCTTTCTTCTTCCCTTTTCATTCCTTTCATACCTATCCATGTCTGCTTAGACTAGCTGTGCTGGACAAAATCTATCATAGTTAATACAAACACAGATCAAAACTCAGAGACTCACAGATGCTTCAATCCATAAATCATACAACAGCAACCTGCACAGTCAGTACTGGATCTCTCTTACCTGCCAGTTTACATTTTGTAACTTGAAAAGGAAGTGAACTGAACTGTTTCTGTAGTTTGTACACGCTGTTGCTTTCAACCAATTCAGTGAAGCCGTGATCAACATAGTACACCTGATAATTGAAAAGGGAATAAAAGCATAAGATCATGAATACAATTGTAAATATGTTTTATTGAGTCTAGGGAAAATGTATCCAGTTACCACATTCTCCGTGCAGCCACAGACAAGTTACTCTTCACCAGTTCAGTACTGTATCACGCCATTAACTTCATGTTTGTTTCACTGCTTGAATATTCAGAGTTTTCAGGGAAAGCTTTCTTCACAAGATCCCTGTAAAACCATCCTCTCCAACCCTTCTAGAGAATCTCAATTCTTAGTAGGAACAGTGCTGGAAGGACTCAGCATTTATCAACGCAAATCATGTGCAGAAAGGTAATAAAGTTTTGAAAGCATAGAAAAGTCAAATACCACTTAGGTGCCACTATAAGTTTTGCCTAATGTTTATACAGCATTATGAGAATCATTTTGATTTATGCTTGTCTTAACTTTGACACAAATACCACAGTCAGGAAACCTGTACAGAAATTGCTGATTGGCAGCAAATAACTGGAGCTAAAGTGAGAGAACGAAGGCTTTGACAGGACTTTCCACATCTATTTTTCTAATCTCTACCATGCAAAATGTCTGCATATCAAACACTGAAAGGACATCTGAACACTGTGTCAGAGGATAATCAGCAAATGCTGCAATAAAGCAGTAGCCTTCTTTTGGCTGATAGCTGTAGCTAGGGAGAAATTAGAAGCAAGCATACCACCAACATCCTTGCCACTTCTCTAAACCCAATAACTTGCCACAAAACCAAGTCCTGACACCCCCACTCCAAGTTCCAGCTGAAGGATATCATGCTAGCTTTCAGAAAAACCTCAATTCTAATATATGTATTAATTTAAATATTTATGAAATGGATCAGCTTTAAAAGTACGTTAAACAGACCTGGTAAAAAGTCACCTAACTAGGGGAAGAAACATTAAAAAACCAAAGGCATCGCTAATGTTTAACTAGGCAAGAAATAACTGAGAAGTTTGGAACTTAAATTTTAACACTCCTAATATATGTTCTAGTTTCATTGCAGATGGCAAGAAGAGTCTACTTCACCCAGGAAAGGTTCAACAGAGGAGTTACATAATCTCAGTGGGGTTTAACTAAAATGCATACTACATATAACTCCCAGAATACTAGACCTGCCTGGAAGAGGAAAGTATATCCTTCTCTTTTTTTTCTATTTAGAGCATGTTAAGAGATACTTCAGTACAAGACTTCAAACAAGATCTAGCAGCAAGTGAATTTGGTCCTTCTATTTCCCATCCTTTGTCCCTCTCCAAACAGTGTTAATATAGTCTCTCCTATTAAAGGGACATCTTCAGTACCAAAGTACCATAGGGTCCAGCCCCATTCAAACCCCAAAACAAACCCCCAAAATTCAAACTGTTTATGGAAAAAAAAACCCTGAAAGATCATTTAATTTTGGCAATCATGTAACTTCAAAAAAGTCTTGATTTCTCATAAAACTGAAAACAGAAGCACTTTAGGACAAGAAAAGATCATACTAGTGCAGCGTATTTAAGAATTGACCCTGTATCCAAACCCCAAGATTGTTTCAATTCTTTCTCCAAGTGCCAAGAGAGGTAGTTGCTTGCCTTTATTTTGTTCCCTTCTAGAGACATTATCCGCGCGCGCAGCCAGGCATCTTCTCCAGCGTGCACTGCAACAAGCTGCCCAACACTCAGAGACTGAGCTGGTGACACTGTACTGTTGTGACTATAGAAGGCTTTCATGTCATCTTCCATTTGATCCTGGGCAGAAGAATAGTCTTTGCCCACATACCTACAGTATTTTACAACAAAACAAAACAAAACAAAACAAAAACCATGGCAAGAGTTAGGATGCAACTTCAAAAAAGCTGCATAAAACCCCAAGAACATTTACATGCATATATGAATATGAGTAAGTTATGGATATATATTTTTCTAAGCATATTTAGTATCCAAACTCTTGTCCCATAACAGTGCTGTAGAAAAGTAACTGACATAAAATACAGTGCTTTTATTGACTGCTAAGTGTGTCCCAGCACTGTATAAACTAACAGGCTCAACTAGATTTTTAGTAGTAGTTCTTACTTGATGGTTGCAATCATGTAGAGCAATTTGACCACAAGAGCAGAGTAGTATCTGGGACTAAGTATAGAGGAGAACTAGCATGTCACCACTGAAGTTACTCTGTCATTAACAAACACCATATTAATCTGGTTTTCTCTATGGTTGATCCAACAAAAGGCATCTAAAATATCTTTAAAAATTGGTTGTTAAACCATGTGCTGTTTACTCTTGACCTTCAGATCTCAATCTTAGTACTGGGCTGCTGACCTAATGGTTCATACTGAAGCAGTTTGTATTGCACAGGTCTTCCTTAATAAAGTATATAAACTTTCTGAAAACTTCAAATGGAAAAGTTCTGAATATTTCAGAAACAAATCAGATTAGAGCAGAGGAGAGAAAAACTCACAAATTTGTATAAGTAGCTACTGTTTCAGCTTGTGCATAGGATGACTGATACTGCTCAATTCTACCACATAGTTTAGATTATATGCCCAGAATTAGTGCAGATATTGCACTATAACATGCTGCAGTAACTTTGTTATAAAGATTAAGTTAAATCAGATCACATTCCAGGGAACCCTCATTTTCCTAATGACAGCCTCATGCTTTTTTCAGAATGATGGCTTTTTTGTTTCTATGCAAGCACTCAAGAAGAGGGGTGACAGTCACCTATGTGATACTTGAAAGTTTCTTTAGCATTTGTATCATAAAGACACCTAATAGGCAGTAGGAGTAGCTCAACAGAAAGCAGTAGAATCTTATGGAATTTCCTGCCCCACTCACTGTTTTCTAGTAAAAGGTGAGCATCATACTGAAGAAGTTCTGGGCTGCTCAAAACCAATTGAAAAAATATTTTTCAGATTTTTTAGAAGAGAATCCTGTAAAGCCACCTCCCAAAAAGTGTGTAAGAGACTAAACTATGTGCAGGTGGGCCAGGCATTGCAAGCATGCATCCAGTACCATTCTTAGTCTCAACTGGAACCAATTCACATGTCAAGTAATGCTGGCTGCTTTACCATGAAAGAACAGAGCGGTATACAGTGAAACATGCTGCAAAGTCCCATCTATTCAAAGAGATGAGGCAAAAAAGTTGGAAAAAACAGAGACCTGTCAATATATTACCACATAGCTGCTCAATTCATCTTCTGAAATGCCATATGAACTTTTTAAGATTAGGGTCAATTTGAAATAATTAAAAAAAATTAAATATCCTCTGTAAAAGTGTTTGGGCTCTGATTTTTTTTTTCTTTTAAGATTTAAATAACTGCTAAGATTTGTGTATTTTAGCCCAACAATGAAGTATACAAAGCCTATGGTATTTCCTGGAACAGTACTGTAACATACATGTAAGATAGCCATTACAATCCACAATGTCCTCTCAGGCTGGGCTGACTAGCAGCAGAATCAAGAAGCACAAGGAGTTTACTGCGGGATGAAAGCTCATCTGTTTCCAAAAGTGAAACCCAAAGTGGAATCTGAACACATTGAAGTCACACCTGGTTAGCAGTCAGTCAGTTATAGAAGTAAGAAGAACTTGTAACAAGCACAACAGTAATATCTGAATACTATTACATGTTGCAGTAGGGTTATTTTAAAAAGTCTTCCAATGCAAAGTCAGATCTGCCTTGATTCTCAGACAAACTAGTGACAGAAGTGATCAGTTCAGGACAGAAGAAGTTTCAGAAATTTCCATTTAAGCACACAAATGAAATAATTATTCAGTTTCATTAGCAAAATAAGTAACTAACAAATTCCTGAAACCACCTCTTCAAGTATTCTTTCCCGGCAGACCTGCACAATATGAGTATATGATTTATAAATAAAACCAAAACAATAGATTCTGAAGTACAAACTTGCCTAATTAGGACTTCATTAGTATTTTTCACTTCTAACACCATAACGGACACAGATCCTTCTGATGGAATGATTAGAGGAGGAACAGTTATGTTCTCTGGATACTGGTCCTGGGATTCTTCATATTGCTGTTCAGCTGTGGCCTTCACACCATCTTGCCTCTGGCCCTTCTCAGTGACATTCAGATTCTCATCAATGCATCTTTGGGGTTTAGCATAGAGGATGGCCTTTTTGGGAACTTCAGATACACAGTCCACTATACACACATCTGAGAGCAGCTCGAGATTATTTAGAATGTCTTCTGGAAACTTTCCTTGGTACATGTCTTGGTACACTTTGGGAAGTGCATGAGCCCAAAGACCGCTGGAATACTTCAACAAGATGCTAACAACCTTTTGCTTTAAGTCGCTACTGAGTGATGCAGGTGTGGTCTCCATATTTGGTTTTACCAAAGAGTCTGCTTTTGAAGCAGTAGCATTCTGAGATGCCTTCTCTTGCTCAGTATCACTTTTTGCTGTCAGTGGTGTTTTCTTCACAGGATAAAGAAGCCCATCCATCTGATCACCCAAGTGTATTTTCTCTACCTTGGAAAACAAAAAATAGAGTCAATAATCAGTTGCATCTCTAAGTCTGAATCATTTTGCCAATTACGCTTTTACAATAGGCATTTTATGCAGTCTTTGAAATGGACATCCAGAGGGAACTAAGCTTGAGGCGGTTTACTACAAGGTAGTACTTCTTGTAATGCTTCCTCCTCTGTTTCGAAGGATACCAAACACATGTGACTACATAATTACAGGGCAAATACCTGATCTATGCAATACCCCTAGGGCTTGCTTCTAAAGAAGTACAGTCTCTCTTTTCTCCTAGGAGGACCAGAATATAATGACAGACTTCACAATCTTAGGTCTTTTCCACATTAACCCCGTCAATCTTCCACACAGGTAAGCATATCATAAATATAAGTTTCAGTTTCAGTTTACTGAGGAAAGGGGATTTGATTCCATACTGCAGAAACAAGAGGACACCTGTCAGGCAGTGCTGTCAGGCAGACTATGTGCTGTCATGCTCAGGGAATTATTTTTCTTTACAAAAGTTCTCAAATTAAGGAAGACACTTCTGGAACATAATAAATTTTCATAATTAAATTGATTAGGCCCTATGTCTCTACCTTTGCTAAGTTCAAGAATAAGCATCTCACATAGTCTGAAGTCACTACTTTGAAAACAGCATTTGAGAACTGTAGCAACAAACTCACAATACAGCTGTTTCCTAAAGCTATGCAGTTTCAACCTAGATCAATCTAACTGCAGCTTAGCAGGAACGTGTGTAAAACTAAAAAAAGCTCTCAGTGTTTTCACATTGATCCCAAAGCAAGAACAACTCCTGCAATAAAGAAAGTTATTGAGGTTTATGTAGCTCCACCTTGATGCACCTTCCTCAGAGGAAACAACTCTCATCATTCCTTGTGGCGTGAAAACCAAAGTAGTAATATTGTCTGCAAGAATAAGAATTAAGAAGGCAAACAAACCTATCCAACAACCCTCTTCTACCCAAATTCGTGTGAACAAGTGCACAAGCTTTAAGACTCCAGTCTTTCCAAATAAGCTCACTAAACCAAGGAGATATTCCCTCTTAACTGAGAGAAGGGGAGAGACAGTGTCCTACAGACATCTATTTACTACAGAACAGGTATCTACAGTAGGAAAATAGGAAAGTATTGTGAATTTACCAAGTTCTTTGGCATCTATGCTAGTCAGCTTGATACAAGAGGTGACAAAACATATCTGGTCATGCAATCTAGGACCAAAGATGCCTTCAGTGATTCATTACAGGAAGAACCTACATTTGTACCCTCTGATATGAGAAGTCTTATTGTGCCCTTTGTACCACAGGAAAAGAAAGGAACTCAGTTAAAAATACAACCAAACAAAAACTTATCAAAGCCTTGTAAGGGCTTTGATACACAGTCAAGAGATCAAAGTATATCAAGTGACCCAGAGGAGAAAAATCAGGGCACAGCACCTTAGCAGATAATGACATCTCAGATACAGAAGAACTGATATAGATACCCCACGTGTCCATGTACAATATTGAGGAATTCATTTAAATGACCAGCCAAGGAAACTTCTGGCTCCAGAAAATACTTGACATTTATCAGGACAACAATTTGTTTGAGAAGGTTGTGTTGGAATGTATGGCAGTTCATCCTGAAAGAAGCCAGAGGTGGAGGCCTACCTTTATGCAACCTTTCTCTTGGCTAGTGTTCTTTAAATGGAGCTGCAACAGAGCTGAATAAATTTTTGCTGACAGGACTATAAACCCTTACACACTAAAGGCAGTCGACTAAGGAGAGAAGAACCTTAGCGATCTTTAAGCCTCTTAACTCCAATAATAGCTCTGAGGTTTTCTAGGCATTGAAGTTCAGTTTTGAAGACGCTGAGGATGCTGACTGAGCAAACCATTTAGAGACAGAAAAATGCTATTTCAGTAAGTTGTTTCAGCTTACTTCAGTATAAATAAGCTCAGGTCAACATCATAGAATCAAAGAATCACAGAATATCCTGAGTTAGAAGGAACTCACAAGATCACTGAGTCCAACTCTTGGCCCTGCACAGGACATCCCCGAGAATCACATCATGTGCCTGAGAGCATTGTCCAAATGCTTCTTGAACTCTGCCAGGATTGGTGCTGTGACCCCTTCCCTGAGTAGCTGTTCCAGTGCCCAACCACCCTCTGAGTGAAGAGCCTTTTACTAGTATCTAATCTAAACTTGACAGAACTTCATGCTATTCCCCTGGGTCCTCTCACTGCTCACCAGAGCGGAGAGATCAGGCCCTGCCTACCACCCTCTGCTGCCCATCCCATTCACTGTGCTCCTGGTCACTTGCACTCCCTGTGGGCCCCTCATGAGAGTGTGGTGCTGTCCTGTGGTTCTCCTGGCACTAGAAATCTGACATGCTTGCCAGGATTCCCTACAGGGTATGCCCACACTGGAGCTGTTTGCCTCTGTGAGTGGCAATTAATGGCTACTATTAGGCTACTATTTTTTGCACAGAAGTTAATGTTCAAGATGCTACAGAACCCTTCATACAGTGTTATGGCCAAGACACCTTCAAGGCCACACAACACTACAGAAACTTTTCATTACAAGCAAATGGCTTAACTTATGAGCAGAACTTGAAAAGAGTCACCCTTCCTTTAGCACAAATATCTCTGTTTGGTTTCCAGTTGATTTCACAGATTTGCCTGCAAGGTACTTCCCATGACTATAGCTGGCAAGCCAGCTCTGCAAGCACAACATGCCTGTTGTCACCTCCTCACTAAAGAGCACAAAGAAGAGTCAACAACTGTCACAATTTATTATCGGGACAATAGAGAGTGAAGTCATTCTACACAGAAGAACAACATGTTTGTCCTAGGTTTGAGTAACAGAGGGAGCTCATAAAACTTAAAATCTAGAGACCCAAATAATAAAACTTCAAATAAAAATTACTCCCAAGATAAATACTGACACTGCAACTGAGCAAGTCAAGTGGAAATCAAAAGAGCAAGTCCACTCTTTCTGACATACGTATATAGAGAGGACAAAGGCAGACATGCTCCTCTATGTGTTGCTGGGTCACAACCTTTGTATGTATACACTTAACGACGTCCAAGTAAACTACTATGCTAACATATGTAAGGTAAAGAAAGTATCCACTTTGCAATGCCAGCTTGGTTTAATTGTGTGTACAGTGATAAACATATTGGCAACCTCCTAGAGCATCAGTACTTTCCATGAAGGAAGTGGAGAAAGCACATCCTTGAAATGAGAGTTCCTAGTCAGAGGAAGTGTCCTTCACTTTCAAGGTTGCATTCACAGCTAGCATATGCAGTTATTTTCTCCCATTCTTCTTCAAGGCAAGGAAAGGAAATATGCAGTGGAAGTTAGCATTCGATGTCAGTGACAGAGTCTCACATGTTGGAAACAAGAGAAGTCTGGCTCCGTGATTCTTAGTATCAAACAGGCCCTCAAAGAGGGCTGCTAAAACACAGACCAGAACTACCACTCCTATTGAGTGTGAAGAATTTGTCAAAAGTGCTGTGCATTAATTCTTTCAGATCTGACTTAAATATGCAACACAGAAGCTAACTACCATGGCATACATACCACAGACTGCATACAGACACATTTTACTGATAGGCAGCTTAGATAAACGCTTCAGTGCGAAGGCAGCTCTCATCCACCTGACTTTCCTCAACAGGATATGAAGTTCAACTCCTAGCAAGTTGAAGCTCAGAGCAGTGAGGAAGGTATTCCTGGTATTCCTTGATCAGCACAACCTTGCATCCACACATTTGGCTGACATCTTTTCTCTGACAGAAGCAATCAAATTCAGGCCCCACTGCTTTTGCCTATCATTCTACAGTACTGTTCTTCCCAGGCAACAGTGAGATGCTGCTTCAACATTAACACTCAACTCCTCCCTGCTCTTCCAAGTAGCTCCTTCTGAAAGCAAGAGATTTTAAGCTACCAAGCTGCTGAGTATGTGTGCAAAGTAACCAAGTCTGGAGAAAAAAATCAGACTTGGGCAATGTTCTTGAAAGGGTGAAGATCCCCACTGCACAGAGTGGCATCACTCAGTAAACAGCTTTTCCTTACAAGGCTGTGGAAGCTTCTTACATCATCCAGTTACAGCTAATCCTTGGAATCCACTCCAGCTTTTACAGCTGCTAGTCTGATATGCAATCACTTTCGCATAGGAAACTATGATACCTAACTTCTTACCCTAAATGACAAACAGACACATCAAAAGGCTTGTTTTCAGCCAAGCCTCGTGTCAGCTGGGAAGCTGGAACCGGACAGGAACATGTTGCCTAGAAAGGCTGCAGAGCATCCACTGTTAAAACATGGCTGGATGTATGAGAATGGGGGTTGCATCAGATAATCTCAAGAGGTCCCTTCCAATCTCAGTGATTCCATGATTCTGCAAAATGTTTATGCAATGTTAGAAGAACCGCCTCAGTTCTTCTGTATGTCAAATAAATTTCAATTACCAGGAGGTAAGGACTACCTTCAAACACCACAGGTCACCCAAAATACCAGCGAAGTCAAAGTAATTTGAAAGGTTTCTGATTTAGTAGCCTTTTCAGTCACAAATTCTGACAGATATGTCAGTTTCATTAAGAGGGCCCAGAAAATATCGGTCAAGATACTCAGACTGGCAATGATAACAATAAAGTTTGGTGTATTCTTCATGGCCAAATACAGAAGATATTTTAAGCCCATCAACTGAAACAAAAACTTTCAGATGCTACAATGACTCTGAAACCTTTATATTTCTGGTAGTCATTACTTCCATACCTACATATTTTTCTATTTTCTTTTGTTGGTAGACTAAAGGATCCCTACCATCAAGATATCTCCTGTTCAGCTTCAGCTAGTGCTCAGGGCTGGGGTGGTAAGCTCTGCAAAGTTCAGGAGTGTCTTTAGGTTGCCCCCTTCTGCCCACCTTCCTTACCCTCCCACTTCATCTCCCTGAACATCACAGTGAAGGCAACTATTCTCCACAGTTTCTTCTTGTGATTTTGAAACTCTAAC